ATTAGCGCCATCTAGTATCAAGTAGCAAAAATAAGAGAGCTTTCCCGCTAGCGCCAACTAGTGTTGAGTGGCGAGAGTTTTCTGGAGGATTTTTTGCTAGAACTATCTACATTCTACTCGAGCATTCTAGATGTTTTCGGTGGAAAACGTCCTATATATATTCAGTAAGGAGCGCGACCAAAGCATTATTGAATTGACAATACAAGTGAAGACTACGGAGCGAAATAAAGTGAACTGAAATGTTAAGTGTGATTAGTGTGTTTTAAGTTTTAATTGGTATTCAGTAATTAAAGGGTCAATTTTGGTAATTCAATCGGTAGTTTTTATTGTCACGATCTCTAAGCTCGTAACAATATCCGCCTTTTCATACAGCCACGACCAGGGTGATCCATCTTAGTCTTTGAGTATTAAACCACTTGCTTGAATACTCAAAGATCTTAGTATATATTTTATTTTTTTGTATTTTCTATGTGTGGGTTGAGCGGTTTAAAATAAAGCGAGAAAAAGCTATCGCAGTTCCTTTCCCTCACGTTGTTCCCTCAAGATTGCCGTTTTAAAAATTAGATAGAAATTAAAATATACATAATTATCATGCCGGAGAAAACTAAAATTGTTAATTCTGTGCTATAGTTTTTTTGGTTGCACCTTACAGTAATTATATACATATTATTCTGAGGTTTGCACAATTAATTCACCTATTAATTGATTAAAATTAAATTATCAAGTGTCAGCAGAATTCTATAAAGAGAAGCCATGAATTAAAAGAAAAAAATGACATTTGTTTATCAACTTCTTTCATGTTGAAAAATTCTCTCAAGTTATTTCATATAGCTCCTCTACACGATGGGCCAGTGCTGGCCCAGTGAGATGGCCATGCGATGGTTGAAACGCAACTACACGATGGCGACATTCAGTTATGATCGAAACGTTTGTCGAGATCAGAATCGAAACTAAGTTTAGTGTAATGTGCAAAAAAAGCACAAAATCATCTTATCACTTTCCGCGGGTTTCTTACAATTACGAGCTTAGGTATTAGGTACTAGGATTCGTGATAGTAAAAACTGCCGATTATTAAAATTGACACTTGAATTAAAGAACATCAATTACAATTTAAAACACACTATAATAATAAAACACAATTTTACAACTGATCACTTTAGTTCGCAGTTGTATTGATTCGGAGTATTCGCTTGAATTGCCAATTCATCACTGAACAGGTCTCAGCCCCCACCGGCCTTATATAGGGCTTCTTCGGCTGAATCATCTAGAGTGTTTGATTACATACAGGTCCCGAGGTGTAGATAGTTCTAGCATGGAAATTTATATAAAGATCTTGACTCTCCTAGTTCTGCTACTCGATACTAGATGGCGCTCTTGATAACGCGCCATGTACCGGACATAAATTATGGCGCGCAACACTACAATAGAACAAGAAAACAAATCAAATAAATATATATATATATATATATATATATATATATATATATATTGAAATTAATATATATATATATATATATATATATATATATATATATATATATATATATATATATATTATGACCGTTATTTGTAGGGATTATTACTATATTGACTCTGAATTTTATTTGGTTCAGATAATTTTTTGGGTTAAGCCAGGCCTCTGTCACTCTTGCTACCTGCGTGATATAATTACCTAAAATCCCGACGCGCCAGGGCGAAATAACGCAGTCAGGGCTAGCGCGTTGGAGACGATTGAATATTAAAGTTTTTTAACGCTGTTTACGTACCTAAACAGTTTTATGTAAATACTTGTTGAAATAGATATTGTTTAGTTTATTTAATTGTAGGTAAAAATTATTGTAAAAGTTTTAATGTATTTTAAAAATTATATATTATGTATTTGATAAATTATAATAGCAAAACGTCGTTCCTACTATAACTGTTGCGTGGATGGATACTAAATGAAACGACCAAGAAATACTAAACGAAGAATTTTAGAAGGAAATTATGAGAGGTGAATTTATTTAATTTATTTGTTAGATAAGTACTTACAGCAAAAAAGAATTAAGTAATAATTTGGTCTACAGAAGAAATACCTAAATACTTAATTACAAAAATTAGTTAAAATTTACTTCACTATCTAAGTATTTACTTACATACATACCTATACTTATGTTTTGCAATTAAAATATTTTAACTTATAATAACACAAAATACTGAAATTAAAACTTTGTATACTAAGAAGATTTTTAAGTAAGTAGAATAGATCACATTTCTGTTAGGAATCGTATTTCAGGTTTATTTGTTGTTTACACTATCTACGTATTTCTTCCGAACCAAGCGTTGCGATTCCCGACGAATGACCTTGCAATTTGCATGCGTTAGGCATCGCAGAACTCATATAGAGGCGAAAGTATGGTCAGTCGATCATAGTCAGATTAGGTACTTCACCTAAGTAACATAATTAACATTTCGCAATGTATTTTTTTATTTTCTATTGACATCCTTTAATAACCACGGAAAGTCCGCCGTGACTTAGGAAGCGAAAAAAGATGCAAAGTAATATGGACACTTACGCGCAGCGATAAAGTTTTATTTAGCTTGCGTTCGCGGTTTATCTGATTAATAATAATTATGTAGGCTATTAAACGTCAGCAAGCAGTTGACATCAAAGGAGTGCAACTTCTGTACGTAGTACTATTATTTATTCTGTGGTTAAGCTAAGTATTCACCATGAGAATTTAGCTAATTTATATTTACGTTAATGGTCTGTGAAGAATACATAGAGAAATATATTACATATCAATAACATATGCGCGGAAATGTTATGTGATAAAGCAATATAAAAATCAATAATAATAATGTATAGTTTATAAAATACGTGTAATATACGTGGTAGAGCCATGCTGCAGTTATATTAGTAGTATAGTTGTAGGATGAATGGGTCGGCTCGACCGGGGAAGGACCACGCTCTCACAGAATACCAGCGTGAAATAGTAGCTTAATGCTGCTGTATTTCGTATGGTGAGTGTAGAGAACCGGAGACCCTTTTTACTGGAAACGAGGCATTCCATCTTAGTCCTCACGGGTGACAACGCATCTGCATTTTGATTCGTAATCGAGGATAGATGTAGATGTCTATGGGCCACAGCAACCACTTACCATCAGGTGGACTGTGTGCTCGTTTGTCACCCTATCCTATAAAAAAAAAAAAAAAAAAAAACAATCTGTCTTCCAGATCCAGATAATAAAACTACATAACTATACCCATTTATAGTTGTATTTTATCCCACATGCTAATCTAAAGTATATTCGAGTAGTTTTGGTGCAACCTTACAAATGTATGAGAATTTACCACATAGGTTTGTGAGGCTGTAGCCGAAATTAATCGAATAAAAAGCTTAAAAGTTACCAAATACAAAGGTTTGGAATTCCTGCGATTGAAGTTTGATAAGAGCGTCCATTGTGGCGCTAGAAGTATACACTTATAGACGCATGTTTAATTTTTTTAGTTTGGACTTTAGAGGTAGCGTTCTTCTCTCGGTAGAGAGTAGCAATTAAATTACTGTAAGTGTGTTCTATGCTTCTATGGCCACGGCTGTATACAACTTGTCAATGTAGTTGCGTCACTTCATTACTTAGACCATTCAAACCAATGCAATGACACAGTCTATGAATCCATTATTATACTGTGGCAATGGGTTGAATGGTCTAAGCGCAGTGACTTCTATATAAAGTAAAGAAAAGTTTACTCAAAGCGAAGCTAGTGCGGGTTTTAAATGTTATTTCAAAATTAATGTGTCTACTTATGTATATAATCATATTTAAATATTTTTCCTTTAACAGAAAATGTCCAATTAACCGAATGATTTAACTAACGTTTTTATACACATAATAACGGTATACCGTTATTAGCGGGTTTTCGTTATTTGTATTGTGCATGTTGACGGTACGGGCTCGATTAGCCGCCATAACATATATAATCCCATTTTTTATCCGTACGGGTATGGAGTGTAGAAGTAAGGAGTACAGACTGTGTATTAAAAAGTGGTCATAGAAAACCGTTAAATAAGGGTGGCGCCACTATAACTACGGACTAGGAGTCTGAGAAAGTGTGCTTGGCGTAGATTTTCACCTGCAAATAATGACACAGTTTGGTATCGTAAAATAACGCTACCTATGGCTTCTCCCGTCCTGTGTTACTCTATGACTCCGAGTTGCCTATGAGCAGTGAGCACAAACTAATAAAGCTGGCTTTTCACTATGGGATAAAATATATAATATCCCGAGATATATAATATCACGAATTATATCCCGCGATTGCCCTTCACACTGTGAAATATATCTTTTGACCAGTATGCGTTTGTCGTTGGACGATTTGAGGACGTAGCGGAGGCGCAGAAGGGTGTGCGGGGTACAGGAGAAATACGTAGAAAACTCTTTCGTGAAATATAATATGTAAATATCGCTCGGTCGATCGAAAAAATATTTATAATTTGGGATGTAATATATGTTACATCTCAGTGTAAAGGGTTTTATTTAAAAGTACGGTGAGCGTTATTAATTTATATCTCGAGATGTAATATAAATTATATTATATCGCATAGTGAAAAGTAGGCTTAAGCGTCTAATAAGAATACTAACGTACCTATGAGTATGATATTATGTACATATCTTTATCGCGTAGCGCGCTTTATTTTTGACCAATCATAGACAGATTTTTAAATTTTTTCTGTTAAACGTCGTTGTCGTTGACGCTTGGCGTTGCGTTGGTACTTGAAATTAAATGTTGTTTATTTTGTTGCTTTTTATAAATAAAGCCTTAATGATATATAAGGAATTTGAATGTGGAACAATTGCGAATATCCTAAAATAACGGATTATATTTGTCCAATTTTATGATTTTTATGTCCTGACAAGTAAGTAGATCTTTGCGTGTGGCTATTGATAATTTTAGAAATAAAACTTCTAAATTTAACACAAATTAAGTAACGAACTAATAGCTTGTGGTCATTTTCAGAATGTCTACTAGAAGTGGTCTAATAAGACAAAGTGTTATAGAACCCAGTCCCCCGAGGACACGTAAAGGTGTTTCACCCCCACGGTCCCCTGCCCGAACGAGGAAAATTTCACCATCACGTTCATCGACTATTAAGTCCGCACCGTCACCAACACGCAAATCTCCTAGCCGTAAATCAACATCAAAAAATCCAGCCCCAAAATCTCAATTAACACCTGAGAAGGAATCTGGATCGATTATATCCACTTCGCCATCTAAAAGACCAGCTATTAAATTAGATGTAGATGTAAAATTGAAAGATCTATCAGTTAAGTTAGATTTCTATCGGAATACTCGCTCTCGACGTTTTGAATATTCAATTAAAGATATTCAGTCTACTGTTTCTAAGACTGATTTGACTACTGATGAAAAAATCAATGGATTTGAATCGCATTTGGCTACAGTTAATGATAATGAGTTAAAAAATCGTAAGTTCATTGAAGAGGTGCCATCACACAGATCAACCCGTTTACATAACTTTATTGAAAGTGCCCCTGAATTTAGACGAAGCATTAGTAAATCACTTAGTAAGTCAGTCAGTAAATCAATTGGAACATTATCTGATGGGGAAAATTCTGATGATGAATTGCAAAGAGAAAAATCTAAATCAGTGACAAGAAGATTAGCAACACCTTTAAGATCAAGTGTTGGGAAATTGGTTACACCTGAATATAAATTTGAGTTTGGTGGTATTATAGGACCTGTTTTACTGATAATTTTAATACCAGTGACAGTATTTTCTATTCTTTTGTCTTGTTCAAAGTTTTGTTCACACAGTCAACTTCTTAATTTATCAGAATATAAGTCCTCAACTCTTTGGTTTAATAACAAGTCATTAATTCTTGTTGTAGCACAATATATAATTCAAGCTGCCTTTGTTGTTGTACCTTTATTTGGTCTAAAGGTAGAGCAACGGAATGGAAAAGGAAATAAACAATGTTTTAATGCATTTTTCTCCAGCATATGCACTGTCAGCATACTGTTTGCTTTAGACTACATAAGAATAATAAAAGTTGATGCAATACTGGAATTGTATTTAAGTTTAGCATTGGTAGCATACATTAATGGGGTTTTACTGGCAATATTTCTATATATAAGGAGCAACAGATTAGATAATCGAACAGTCAATTCATATGGAAACACAGGATATTCTGTTAATGATTTTTTTGTGGGAAGGGAAGTTTACTCTTCTATTAAAAATTTAAATATAAAACTTTGGATTTCAAGAATATCTAATATAACTTCTGTAAGTATTAATTCTTTTTTTAACCATATTAAACTTATAAGTGTAAATGTTATCTTTGTGATTGTATAGTTACTATGAGACTGCTTTTAATAACTAACTTTAATCGTTTCAGCTTATTTTATTAATTCTTATCTTCAAATGTGGCTTTGAATTACCATCAAATGATTTAGAAAAGCTTTCATTGGATAACTACAGGGACTTTTTAAGCAAAGTGCGCTTGAAGCCAACAATCTTATTATTTTCAATGATGCAACTAATATATGTTCTTAATTTCATTCTAAAAGAACACAAGATCGAAACAACATTTTATTGGCAATCAGAAGGATTAGGGTACCTCCAGACTATTTCAAGTGCACTATATCCATTTTACTTTACAAGTATTTCCAAATATGTAGCAGATATTGACTTAAATATGTCAACTAATGCCTTAGTTGCTGCTTTAACATTATTTCTGGTGGGTTTCGTTATTATGCTTTTAAGTAATAATATTAAACATGACTTCAGGAGAAACCCATTTCATCCCAGCTTGGCACGTAAGTTTATACAACTTTTCTTTATTGTAATAACTTCTTTTCCTTGTTATATATTATGGTCTTTTCTATGTGTATTATTTCTCAAATATTAAAAATTGACGTTAAAATATCATACAGAAAAATAAACTATTTATATTTTGTTTTTTAATCATAAGTTCATTGAGTTCCTGGGGTTGCTTTAGTATCCTGCTGCACAAAGAGGCAATTGTAAATGTCATAATCTGAATGCGGGAAATGTGGTAAGCAGAGGGATGAACCTACCCCTCCTGGTGGAAACAAATCTTTTTATGCATTTTAGAAAATTTCATATTAGAAATTATTTGTCTTGATAGGGGACTGAGAGCAGGGTAGGAGTTGTGTAACCTCCCACCCAATTCCCCCCGAAATAAGTGAAAGGACAGTAAGAAATGTTTTAAAATTATTTTGGTGCTTAGCTGTCTGCTGCCAAGGCATGCACGCTTTTCTCACTCAGCTTTCGCATCATGGTCACCAATAACCAACTATAATTACAGAGGGTGCTTAATACCTTTAGGCATTATCTACTGTTTGCCTAATATAGGTACACTAGGCTCACTTATATTAAGCAAAATTCATTCATCTGTTCATTCATCACAGCCTACCAATGGTCCACTGCTGAACATAGACTGCCTCATGGAGAGAATATGATAAGCAGTTAGACAGCTTAATGGAGGAATTCACTGGTTTTTTTACATGATAGAGCCACACTGCAGCTATATTTATACTTGTAGCATGAATGGGTTGGCTTGACTGAGGTACAACCACTCTCTCACATAACACCAGCGTATAAAATAGCAGCTCGATGCTGCTGTGTTTCATATGGTAAATGTAGAGAACCGGAGACCTTTTTTACTGGAAATACGGCACTCCATCTTAGTCCTCAGAGGTGGCAACAAATTTACATTTTGATTCTTAATCAAGGATAGATGTAGATGTGTATAGGTTACAACATCCACTTACCATCAGGTGGACTGTGTGCTTGTGTGTCATCCTTATTGTATGAAAAAAATTACAATTTTTTTCCATAACATCAAAAAAAACATATAACTTTAAAAAATTCAATTAACTTCAAAATTTTATTACTTTGTATTAACTGACATACTTACACTGCATCAAAGCAGTATTGTAAATTGAATGAGACAAAAATTGTAGATGTTTAAAATTGTGCCGCAGGATACTAAAGTCAACTTAAGTTTGCTTCCAACTGATAGCAACTACCATGATACATGCAATAGGCAATTACATTGTCAACTTGCCACACTCCTTGTTCCTTGCTACTTCATCAACAGTCTGCATAATTTGTTTTTTTTTTAAATTGGCTATTCCTTACACTTTTCTTATTGTACATTGTTGTGAAATTAATTACAAAAGATAAATAATTTACTGCTTATTCCTTTGCAGCATGATTTTTTCCAATTATCCGTGCAGTGGTGGCGTAAAAGAATCCCATAAGTGTTGTAAGAGGCGACAGAAGGAAATGAAGAAGGAGAAGGGCATTAGCATCTTTCTGTTAACAACTCATAACAATAAAAATGCTGTTGCCAATCTGCCTGCCAAGCATGGCAATTATATAAAATATGAGGTAATCATGCTCAGCATGGCATTCAATGAGCATTCAAAAGCGACCAGCAATTAGGGCGAGTCCCTAATTGTTGGTTGCTTTTGGATATCATTTATAAAAAAATCCGGATTGAAATGCTGTCTCCATTTTGTCAATGTGTGTCTACTATACGAAAGCGCGCGATGAAATGTACAAGAAAATGTCGACCTAAATATGTATCTAAAGAGCGCTCTTGCCAAAAAATCGGATTTCAAATCAGATTTTGACATTTTGTCTGTAGGGTGTGTACAGATATATGTAGTAGATGATTTTTAAAAGCGCGTTACCAAAACGCGGGGTTCAAAATGCCTAATGTGTACTCGCTCTTAATCTGCCTGTCATGTGTAGTGACGCTGGCAAGTCCTCGTGCAAGTAGTCTGTTCTGAAAAGTGCTGATGTGAGAGACAAACAGTAGCAAAACTAAATGCATAGTGTTATTTATCACATTTGTAATTGGTCTTATTTTACCTTACTTTTTTCAGATTTAGATTCAATGCCCACACTTCATGGTAACAAGCTGCTGGTATCCAATCTTTGGGGCATTGTACGTCATCCCAACTATACTGGTGATATTCTTATTCACATAGCTTTAACATTACCAGGAATTTTGACCAGAAGACCTATGGCTGCCCTTCCAGCCATTTTGACTATAGTAGTATTGTTGCATCGTGCTTGGAGAGACCATGGGCGATGCTCACGTCGTTATGGTGCGGCTTGGCAGAGATATTGTAAGAGAGTGCCCTCAGTTGTAATACCTAAGATTCTATAATTCTTCAAGATATGCAAATGACCTTAGTCAAATATTTTTTTAAAGAAAAGATATTAAATTTATTCAACTTTTATTGAATTTTTCAATGAAAATCAATTAATAATTGCAGATTAAAATAGATTTTTAAAAATATAACTGAAGGAGTAAGAGGAGGACCTCCTCCTCTTTTCTTCAATTGTATTCTAATGTATGTTACATGATATGTTTGCTGAATGTAACCTGATTTTATTGACTCTTTTTTTTAAATTGAAAAACTGCTATGAACACTAGGTCTAAATCTGCCATATTAAATACACACAAACTAAGCCCAAAAACGATGTGACAATGGTATGTCTAGGGACACTGTGACATGACATTGCGTCAAAGTCCGCTTTCAGTGTGCATTAGGGATGCTGATGAATCCCATTTTGATGTCGGAAATAGGTCTAAGGGTGAAAAGTAATAAAACTTTTCATGTATGTGTAACTTTAAAGACACCTTGACACCTTGAGCTCGTGTTTTTATTTAGTCCATTCAAAATAGTCAAATATAAAAATCGACTTCATAAAACTAAGAAAAAAATTAATGTTTTTTAACATACTTTGCTTTAGCACAGACTATAAAAGCTATCATTTATGAATTTTGAGTCGGGTTATAAAGAGAAGGGTCCTGTGGTTTTATAAAGAGCTTTCTATTGAAAGTTAGGAAAAGATAGGGAAGCCTTTTTTATAACTTCATTAGGCTCTGGTTGATTGGAATATGTACTGTGTCATATGATATTTTTAGAAGGCAAAAGACATTACACATTTTTTTATAGGACATAACTTTACTACTAATATAGCTGTAGCAAGCCTCTGCCACATATATTATTTATATTATCATAATTTGTATCCAGTGCAGTTTATGAGTGTAGCAAAGTAATATTATTAAAATATGGGAGATCTGAGCTACAACTTCATACTTTTAAGTACTTATAGGTTGAATCTCAACCTGTGTTTTTACATAGGATATTTTTATTTTATATTATTGTAAAGGTTTTTACTCACTAGGACATAATTAAAATCTTTTAATTTCTTTGCTATCCCAAAAATTTAGAGTAACAAAGTTGAAGAACTAATATGGAAGTTTCAAAACAGCAATTTTTAAAATTGAACTTTGTTTCCCTCTTATACTTCATACTTACTTCTATATCATTACTTTCTTATATTTTGCTATCATTGATAAATAAAAATTTTAAATCTTTAAACTATTTATTGTGAATAGATAGTGTCAGATTTTCCAATGCTGCTCTAATTTTGATCCTTAGCTTTTATGAATCACTGCCTTCTGGTAATAATACAGTAAAATAAAAAAAAAAAAAATATTGACACAACACTACTCCGAAACCATGATCAACATCCTGATCACTCATGCACAGGTCTTTCTCCTTTATTTCTTTACTTAACGCATATCAGTATCGTATATGCAACTAAATCGAGTTGTTCAAATGATTTTAAACGCATATGCGCCAGTACCTGTTCTTACAATAATTTGAACGTGGTTTCGGCGTCACTTAAATGTACTTTGTATTCTATATACACACCTACATAGTTTGTTTAGTAAATGTGAGAATGTTATTTACATTTTTAATGTTATATTTTAGTGTGGTCAAAGAGCACTTAAAGTGTGTTTGATCCTTATAAAGAACTTTACAACTATATTCACATTTAAATAATTATTCTAATTTATATTTTATTTTTCTTGCCATATGGTTTCCCACTGGAAAGTTCAAGCTCTCTCAGCCTAACGACGGGTTTATACGGGCTTAGTATTTGTCATTAGTACTAATCGTTTAGAACTAAGTTGCATAGTGACAAGTGAGAAGTACCGTCTACACGTTAGAATTAGTAGAAAGGTATTAGTGACCAGACATTAGAAATGGAACGCCGCCGTGGCCTTATTTTGCGTAGTGTGTTTAAACATTATTCTAACATAATTATAATTGAATTGTTTTAATTTTTTTTGCCTCCGGAACTCCGAAACCAATAATATGCTCTCGTCAACAATCTTCTGATATGCCACTTCTTTCGCTTGTCTATTTTTATATGAAACCTATTTTTGGTTCCATAAGCATTCGTAGGAATTAAATTCTTGGGTGAATTTTATTGTTGTTTCGGAATTCTATTTTTCTGCTGCCATAATTACGAAAAGATTTCGAAAATATAACCTAAGTTTTCACATGCCGGTGCAATTTGTCACTAAGCATTTGTAAGTGCTTAGTAAATTGAGGTGTGTGTATCGACTTGTCGCTCAGTAAATAGGACCACTTATATTCATTTGCAATGTCACAAACACTAATACTAAGCACTAATTCAGCACGTTTACACATTGGGTATTAGTGTAAGAGACAAATACTAAGCATTAGTTACTAAGCCTGTGTAAACTCTACATAAGTGTCACTCATTGCAAGACATAGATATAATATATCTGCACAGATACATATTATGTAAGTTATATAGATGATATTTTTTTACATGCGCGTTATGTAAAACTTATTCAAATTTTCGTATTTGTATTTACAAGTAATATTCATATCGATTTAAATTATTTTTTATGAATTGCAATCAATTAATTTTGTGTGACGATATTATAATTTTTTATCTCTAGAAATTATGTTGCCATTGAAAATATAATAAGTAATGATAAATAATATTTATACACAAGTACAAAATTGAAAAATTTTAAGTTAGATATAAGGATTTAATCTATATTAAGTGTTTAGAGACATGTTTGTTTTAAATTTTTTTATTTCCAGAGACTTAATCTTTGTATTAAAAATATCTGGTGTAGGTATATGTATACATAATTCTTCTTCTAAACGGCTTGAACGATTTTGATAAAATTTTCATTGGATACTTATGGATGTTTCTCATTTATAGTTGGACACGGCAGGTGGCGCTGTTGTAGAAATCCACTCGAAACACACTCCACCGGAAACCACTCGTTCAACAGTGTGATCGCTAGTTATAAAACAAAATTGTTTCATTTATTCGCGCACTGTGGTCTTTTGTTTCTGGTTAGTTATATTGCTTGTATTGACGGTAACAAATCTTTAATTTGTTGCATTCAATATCTTCCAAGATAAACTACCATAATATCACAACATACAATATTTTATTATATTAATTAAATCTAAGTACCTACAATAGAACGCTTACTTGAACACTATCTATGTCAAATGATATGGAGTTTTAGTCTCGGGAATTAAAAAAAAGTTTAGATTGTAATTAACTTTAAGTGTAGATAAGGCTCCCATAATCTGGTTTAAGCAAGAATTATTATATTTGTTTAGTCTTCCAAATTTGGAAGAGGTTGTGTCAGGATGCTCCTAGCCGCGGTAGTTCAAGGCTTAGCACTCATTGTGAATTTTATAGTACGCGCAATTCGGATTCGATCCCGCCGGCACCAAATAAATTGTCAATTGCAATTTTAACTGCTGATTTATCACGTGCTTGGCGGTAAACATATTTGTTTAAGAAACTAAAAAAAATATTTTCGAAGACGCCTTTGAAGTTCGTCTTTCAAAATATTCGGAAACTTCCTTGCCCTAAAACCCACTAAATATGAGAGGTAGTCAATGAAAATTATTGAAACCATTATTACATACATTAGGATATGGACTGTTACTGCTAAAGTTTGAGAAGTGTAAAATGCAGTGCGTTCTTTTCATTTTCACTAGTAATAAGCGTCAACAATACACAAATAATTGGTATAATGATTTTATCATTTGGAGTAACTATAATTTTGGTTTATTTAAGATTTGATCATTAGATCTCATATATTCATTTACTATAGCTGAATAAAATACAAAGAAAGTGCGTTCGTTTTATTTTCATTAATAATAAGCGTCAACAATACACAAACAGTTGGTATAATAATTTGTATCATTTGGAGTAACTATAATTTTCGTTTCTTTAAGATATGATCAGTAGATCTCATATGTTCATTTAGCTCAATAAAATACAAAGAAAGTGCATTCATTTCATTTTCATTAATAATAAGCGTCAACAATACACAAACAATTGGCATTATAATTTTTATCATTTGGAGTAACTATAATTTTGGTTTCTTTAAGATTTGATCAGTAGATCTCATATGTTCGTTTACTATAGCTCAAAATACCAAGAAATATACTTTAAATGTAATAATATTATTGTGGATTTAAAACATGTCACAATTTATCGTTTTTAATAAATTTTTATAATTATTGAGTGTTTCATTCCATGGATTGTAAGTATAAATTTTTCTACTTTAATTGTGAGTCGCAATTTTATTTGGTATTTTACCATATGCTCGGTTTTGAAGGAAAATTACGTGAGGAGACATAAATACGAGGGTGACGCTGAAAATTCTTAGGAAATCAAAAACTGAATAAACAAGCAAGTTATTAGTTTTATTGTATCTTTTCAAGAATGTCCATTTACATTACTACTGGACACTATTTTGAAAAGATATAATAAACAAATAACATGATGTATTTAAGGCGCAAATTATACAGAAGCGGCGTAAGGCGAAGGTACGACAGACGCGGTGGAAGAGTGGAACGGATAAAAGCAGCATGCCTGTGTCCGCCGCTTTCATACATTTTATATGAAAAGCTTTTGAAGCGGCACCATGTCTGTGCCGTGCCTTCGCATTGAGCCGCTTTTATTCGCAATGATACTAGGGATATCGATTCTTTCCGAAAAGTGTCGATTTTTAAATCGATTTGAATCGAAATCTGATGATTTGATTCACAAAAATCGATTTTAAGGATCGATTTCCCAAAAATCGATATATTTAATATCTATTAAGAAGGGGCGATAGAAACTAAACACACAGCAGTTTTGCTAGTTATTGAATATAAAAACTGTCACTTTTACGAGTTTGGGTACATTATAATTAAATATCTGAATTAGTTTTATAGTTCTTATGAAAACTGAAAAAGGTTCGATCTCAATTTTCTAGGATGAAATGTTGATTCACTGGATCAATTCAGTACT